TGCCGCTATAGGTAAAAAAATGCCACAAATGTACAGTTTTGTTGTAGTGAATCTAGATTGTTGTAGATAAATAACAAGTCGTTGATATGGCTCATCATTTTTCATTCCGCGATGACGAATATCATATTCTTCTTCCTAAAATTTAAATTCAAACAATAATAAAATTTTCAAAACTACAACATTAATATAATAATTTGAACTTTTAAAAATATAAGTTCAAGCGATGAAATATGGACATCATTAAGACGTAACATTTCTTATTAGGTAGACATTTTATTGTAAAATCCATAAAAAAAATTCTCTCAAGCAACTATTTTTCTTCTCAATAAATCACAATACAAACCTTAAACCCCAAACTCCTATTAATAATTCCAAATCCAATGGCCATGAATTACTAGTTCATGAAACCCATCACTCTCACATGACGAGCTCCAATGGACTAGCCTTTTATGACCATTAGAATATACATGTTTACCAACGTTCAGTTAACGACTATAATTTTTAAATTTAAACGAAACTCATCACGCTCACATGACTAGTTTCGTGATTAAATGAACTTAATTTATAATTATTACATATTATTTTAATTAACAATAATATATTTTAAAGTAACTTATCATGTGGGTTAGGGGAGTTCAATCGGTAAGTTCAATTAACCGACCGAACCAAACTTCCAAAAATTCATTAATCAAATTTTTTTTCACTATAACTGTTAATTAAATCGATTTTTTTCCGAAAATAATTAATCAAACCGAAAAAAGTTTAGTTAATCGAATTAACCAAAATTTTAAATAATATATATTATGTATTAAATATTTAATATTTAATATTTTTGACTTTGACTAATTTGGTGGGTTAATTCGGTCGATTAATTCAATTAAAACTAAAATTTAAACACTTCTAAAGCTATTAATATATAAATAATATGTTAAATATTTAAAAATTCAATTAATTAACCAATTTTGAGCCGAATTAATTGATAACCGAAGTTTAAAAAATCATTAACCGTTAACCAACTTAACATAAAATTAACAGACCGATTAATCGAAAAACTTTCGATCCACTCAGTTAACCGATTAAAAATCAATTAATAAACACCCCTAATGTGGGTATGGCAAGGTTCAGAAAATGTATTAAACGATTAGACCCCACGGGACACTCAGACCTAGATCTATTAAAAACTAATATATAGGTAAACTCGCCATGTGGGCATAATGAGTTTGCTCTACTCTGTAACAAATGCTATATATTACAAATTAATATTTGAGTTAATCTATTGGTTCAAATATTTAATCTACTTGGATTATTGGCCCAATTTTGCATTTATACCAATTACCAGAATTTATAAGATCTTATGATTTAATCGTTAAAAATAAATATTTTTGCAATTCTTGTTGATCGATAACTCCGATTGAATTGAGATTTGACATATCTTCATTTGAGATATTCTAATAGTTTTTTATTTTATTTTTTATTTTAGGGTAAACTACGTATTTAGTATTTAAACTATAGGTTTTAGTTCGTTTTAGTACCTTAACTTTTTTTCAAAATCATACCTAATGTTTAGTTTTTTGTTTCATTTTAGTACTCTGTTGTTAAAAAATTAACTCGTTTAGTACCAAAACTATCAATTTTGATCTATTTTAGTACCTAAACTTTTAAAAAAATTCAAAATTTAACGTTAAATTTTGAGCAGAGGTATTAAAATGAAACAAAAACTAAACTTCATGTATTATTTTAAAAAACTAAGAGTTTACGTACTAAAATAGACTAAAATTGATAATTTAGGTACTAAATGCATAATTTACCCTTTATTTTAACATGATTTACGAAAATATGTTACTCCCTTTTTCCCATAATTTGTCTTATATTTGACTATGCACATAGTTTTACAATATATATTTAACCAAGGAAAATGACACTATCGTAACCGATTTTCGCCCGGGCATGAATTTTCCTTGGCGGAAAAGTGTATGGATAAATAAATAGTTTTTTTAAGGAAATGTTTTGGAGTCATCATCGACCTTTTGGGTTAGGTGAGTCGAATATCTAAAAATCATCTATTAAAAGAGTTTTAAAAAAAACTATTTAAAAGATAAATCAGTCTGCGTATAACCAAAAATTCATTCTTTTTAGTAATAAAAAAGGATTAGTGGTCGGTTACGTTTGGGAAAAGATTAGCACCCCTATAACGCCCAAAATTGGTACCCGTCGATTATAAATTGTCTCTAGTAGTGGAAGTTTAAGAATTCTAATATGAATTTAATTTATGATCCTATTATTCCAGATTCAATCGAATAATTCTAAAAATATATTAAAATATTTTTTTATAAAACTAAAGTAAATATATATATATATATATATATATTTATATATATTTAGGGTTTTGTAAATAGGGTATTTATTTATTTAAAAATATTAGAAAATGACATCTAGTTGCTTTAAGACAATCCCTTGTTTCAATATTAAAAAATAAATAAATATTAATAAAAATATAATAATTTTTCCTAAAAATTATAATTTGAATGAAACTAAAGTAAATATATATATTTTATTTTAGAGAAAGGTATTTATTTATTTAAAAATATCATAAAATGACATCTATTTACTTTAAGACAACCCCTTTCTTAATATTAAATAAATAAATATTATCCTTTCCTATATATATTCATATGATTAAAATAAAATAAAGACAAATAATTAAAGTACTAAATTAAACATATTGAAATTAAAAGGGTAATAAAAATAAATTTAAATTGCAATTAAACAGTGACTAAAATAGAGAAAAATTAAAACTATAGGATTAAATTAAAAAATAATAAAACTTATGGTTAAAAATGAAAATTATTAAAGTATCAGGCATTAAAATGTAAAATATCAAAATTGATGGACATAAATAGAAAGATTATAAAATACATGTCCTAATAGTGTAATTTAACCTTAATTAACTATTTCAGGGTTAAAATAAAAATTATTTAATATTTTAGGGACTAAATATGATATTTATCTTAAAATATATCATTATTGGTAAGGATTAAAATATAAATTAAATAAAATTCAAAGACCAAATTAAAATGGCATAAATTGATTTCCAGTGACTAAATTGCAAAGTTAAACTAGAGGGACTGCAGACAGGATTTTCCCATGTGGGAAATTACACAGGCACCCCTTACCAAAACTACGTCGATTTGGTGAGGGTATAAATACCCCCAAACCGGCCCAAACATGCAAAATTTTTCATTTTTTTTTTCATTTTGCTTCTTTCTAGGATTCCCTCACAGGAGGGAATCTGACCACCGCGGTACCACCCACGGTGGCCAAAATTTACAAAATTTTCTCAAATTAAAGCCTTTATTTTCCTAAACCCGAATCCAAACTTATTTTAGCCTAAAACCCTTTAAATCGAAGTAGATCTAACTTTCTTTACCTTCGACCTTTCGGTTCTACGGCTGCATATGGAGGTTCTGACGACCGTGGTAAGTTTTCTCTCTCTTTTTCTTCTTTTGGGTGTCTACTGGTAGTTGTGGTTGCTTCCTTGCTCTTCTCTTTGTTCGATATTTTGTTTGATGTCCGTGTGGGTGTGCTTACTGTTGTCGTGTGTTTGTCGTTGTAGGTTCGATGGCCTTTATAGGCCACCACGGTGCTTGCCTCAGACCGGTCCTATGGGTGACTTTCGGTGAGTCACCGAACCTCTAGGGGTGACTCACCGTAGAGGCGACGTGTGCGGCTGGCGTTGGGCCTTCTGGAGGCATGGCGTGACAGAGGCACCTGACAGTGGAGGCATCGGCAATGGCGGCTTGAAGCTTCAACATAAACCCTAGATGCATTCAGGTCTATTGGGTCGGGTCTGCACCGAGCCGAATCTGGCATGCTTCAACTGGGTTTTGATTCTTGTTGGGCCTCCGGGTTGTAATTGTATTTGGGCCTGGTTATTTATTTGTAATTACTATTATTTAATAATAATAATAATAATAATAATAATAATAATATTTAAAATAAAGTGAGAAAAAAAATTAGTGTCTACAGACACAATTATTCTAAAAGATGATTGATAAATTTGTTTTAATAGGTGTCAAAAAGTGAGGCATATAAGGGTAAAAAAGGAAATATAAGTGTTATTTGTTCACTTCTTTAATAAGATATTTTGAATAAGATAATTTTAAAAATTAAAATGGACACAATTAGTAGTACGGAGGTAGTACAAAATAACAAAAATATATGTGTTTGTTAGTTGTTTTTCTTACTTTTTCAAACGTGATTTAGGTAATTGCTACTGTGGAATGATCTATAATATTAATACCCAATTTATATTACAAAGATCTTTATTCAATGTGGAATGATCTTCTAAAATCAACAAAATAATTTGAATAAAATGTCGATGTTGAAAATAGTTTCTTAATAAAGTTGATTTAGAAAGCCAAAATTAAAAAATTAAAAATGAATTTTAATACTTTCGAAATTAAAATATAAATGACTAAAAAGGGAAACTTGATTGAAATTCAAATTGATTGGTTAAGGGGAAAAAAGTTGTTGATTTCTCACCCATGAAAATGTGTGCACATTATCATGATTACGATCAATGATCATATCATACATATGACTCAACATGAAAACTGACTCGTACATTTTCTGATTTAATAGAAAAGACTTGTTGAACTTTTTATGATTTTCATAAATCTTTTAAGGCATAATTTTAATGAATTTTTATTACATATATAAAATTATGTCAAACATATGAAAAAAAATATTACTAATGTTACGAAAATAATAATAAAAAATAATTGAATACATAGACTAAAATAATCTAAATACTATTAAAGACGGCGCACTATATATTTTGTATACTGTTATTTTTCATTCTTTTACTTTTAAAACACATTCAATTTTTAATAACGTTTTTACTATTCAAGGAATCAATAATTGTTAATTCTTTTATAATTAATTTTAAATAATTCAAAAAGAAATACATCCATCTTTTCTTCTCTTCACTAATTTCAATAGAAATATAGCCTATATTGCCTCCTAAATAAGATCTTATTCATACAACTTTAATTGGAAGCTAATGAAAGGAAGACGGGCAAGCATTTGCGTAGCATATGCTTGTACTCAAGAGTCGTTGGGGTATTGGAACATTTGTAACGATGGATTGACAACACTGAACCCTCCATCTATGAACAGATTATGCCCACTAATATATCTTCCCTCTTCACTTGCTAGGTAAAGTGCTGCATTTGCTACATCTTCAGCTTTAAGATACACACCCTTAAGGTTAGCCAACACACTCATTGCTTTTTCGAGCTCCTCGTCGTCTTTAGCCCCGATGAATCCCGTCGCTAAAGGCGTTGCAAGAGCGTAGGGAGACAAGCAGTTAACTCGGATCCCGAATTGCCCGAGCTCGACTGCGGCATTCCTGGTGAGTCCCAACACTGCATGCTTCGAAGCACAATACGCATGCGATGCGGCTGCACCTAGTATGGAGCTTACACTCGACGTCGATATTATGCTACCTGATGTACGGTACTTGTACCTTTTCAAATGATTATGGATCTAGGAAGGAAGCAAAACAACCTGCAAAGTGAATGGCTCAAAAATAGAATGGTTAAGGGTGATAGTCGTATGGGTGAATTGGTAGGCTATTTAAATAATGAGTAATGGAAGCGGAAGATAGTTGATAAGGCTATGGTTATGGATATGAAATAAAAGGATGGTTGTGAGGATAATATCTTGAAGAAATCTCAAAGAAGAACCAATGCTATAGAGAGCAGAGACCCAATCTTTATATTGCTTCTTCAAGGGGTGGTGTTAAGTACTTTGACCCACTAGTTATATGAACTAGGAACCAGAAGTATCAAGATGAAAGAAAAGGGGTTGACGCCACAAGTATAAAATACTTGATAAGTCGATAAAAAGTCACCAGGACTTAAGAAGAGAATAATCTCACTTTAATTGAATAAAAGGTGTGCTTACAAATGAAATATGCTTTCCTATTTATAGGAAATGGAATGATATGGCCGAATGGTTACAAGAGGATTCGACCAGCCCTTGTGCCTCTATAAAATGACATAATTTAATTACAAATAGAGATGATGGTTCGGTTTAAATGGAGGAAAATATCCTTTGGCCGAATAGTGCTTGTACCCCTTCAAGTTGGCGCCAAATTGGAGAGAAAGGAGTGCTTGGCCGAATGGTAAGAGGACTCTTCATCTTGGTGCCTAAATGAAGTCACATGCCTATCACATGGTGGTCTGGTCACAAGGCGTGCACATGGCCTCTCTAGGATGCTTGTGGTGTAGCCTTGCGCATGGAATGATGGCTGGTCATGTGCTCCATCTTGGGCGTGCATGTGTCTCCTTCCAAGCTAGCTTGAGTGTTGAGCTAGCTAGCAAGAATGGGGCTGTTTATGAATGATCTTCTTAGCCGAGTCCTTTTGAGCTCCATAACAGCATGTTCAGCTACATTCAGCTACATTTGTCATCACTTTTAGCAACTCAGCTTCAAATAGTCCAACTAGCTAAGTTTAGCTAGCCTGAAGCTTCTCCAGCTGAATCGAGCTTCCCTTAGCATTCCATGAGCTGCCTTGTACTTTGTGAGCTGTTTGTGAGCTGTATGTGACTTCCAAATCGTTCACCAAGCTACCTCAACGTGCATCATACTCCATTGTACCTATATGTGCAAGGAAACAAGGTAAGTTCATGATATTGAGCTAAAACGAGCTAAATACCTTGCTGCCATGTTTGTTTATGGTAATGTGAGCTAAGTATGATGGTCATGAGCTAAGTACATCATCTCCTAATATGTGTAAGATAATGTATAAAGCCTAAGAGTTAACATGAATGCAAATAAACTAATGAAATGCATTATAAGTATGCTGCCTTGATGTATATATAATAATCATGCATAATATGATAATAAAACTATCCTAACATTATTAACATATTAAAATAACAATGTGTAATATGAATTCATACTAAGTTACTTAACTAATATTCTTATCATAAAATGTATTATAATAGCATATATTATAAAGCTAATAATAAGTAAATTCAATATAAAGATGTTCAAAAGTACTCCCTTTATAGATGAAAACGTGCTGATATCATCCCCCCCTTCTTTAGGGCGATTTGTCCTCAAATCGAGTTCATTCTGTCCTTGCATAGCTTCACGCCTCTTTGCTAATAGAAAGTATTCTTTGAACGTTTGTGTTCTTCCATTAGGTACCTTTTCGTAAGATTTCCTTTTAGGTCTTTCTTTGGAATATGATTTACCAACAGATACCTTTTGGGAATGATCTTTATCTAAGGATATCCCTTTTGGAAGTGACCTTTTACGTGATTGGTCCTGAAAAGTGAGAAGAGAAAAGGTTTCATATGAAGGGTTACTTACCTTTTGAAGTCTAAACCCATTGGTGAAAAGTTGCGACTTTAAGTCCCAAACATCACCATTGTTCGTAGAAGACCCTTCATTTTTCAGCATTGAACCATCATGTTCTCTATGAAGAAGTTTGGTTTCTTGTTTTGTTCCTCTTCATTCTTTGTTGGGGTTTTGTCTTTGCGCCATGCTTGTACACTCTTTCTCATATGCAACTGATCTTGTTGCACTTCTTTGGGCGTTAAAGGCATCAAGGTCACCTTGCGTCCATCATGCTTAAAAGTGTATTGATTGTGAAAACAATCATGAATAGCCCTTTTATCATACTGCCATGGTCTACCAAGTAAATGTGGCTAGCATGCATAGGGACAATGTCACAAAGCACCTCGTCCTTGTACCTACCAACTGAAAAAGGAATTAGAACCTGTTTGGTAACATTTAACTCATCTCCTTCATTGAGCCATTGGAGTTTATACGGAGTAGGATGCTTTGACGTTGTTAATCCAAGTTTTTCAACCATAAGAGTGTTGGCTACGTTTGTGCAACTTCCTCCATCGATGATCATTGTGCAAACCTTATCCTTGACATGGCACCTTGTATGAAAGATATTGTTTCTTTGAATATCCTCTTGGGATGTTTGTGATTGTAGGCACCTCTTTGAAACAAGCATTTCACCATGATCTGCATTTTCTTCCGTTTCTTCGTCTTGTATTATTTCAGGTTCCTCGTCAAAAATAGGCTCATCAGAATCTGATACAATATCTCCATTGTCAAGTATCATCATGGCATTTCGGTTGGGACATTGACTAGCAACATGTCCTTTTCCAAAACACTTGAAACATTTGATGTCTCTGGATCTCTCGAAAGTGATGGTTTGCTTTTCTTTACCCTTGCTAGATTCGCCCATTTGTGCAGATTTGGGTATCTCTGCGCGATCCTTTGGTTGGATTGGAGTTTGTTTCCGGAAGGTAATAGGTTCTTGCTTCCATTTGGTGGCCGAATTTGGAATGCTCCTAGTGTAGGATTTCCTTTTGAGTTGTCTTTCAATTTTCATGGCCACATGCACCATCTCTTCAATTTCTACATAATGCTGAAGTTCAACAAGGTTAGCAATATCAATATTTAGACCAGATAAGAACCTTGCCATTGTTGCTTCTCTATCTTCATCCACATTGGCTCGGATCATGGCAATCTCCATCTCCTTGAAATAATCTTCAACGTTCTTGCTTCCTTGTTTCAGATTTTGTAACTTATGATAGAGATCTCGGTGATAGTGATTAGGAACAAACCTTTTTCTCATAAGGGCCTTCATTTCTTCCCAAGTTGTGATGGGGCGTTCACCATTTCGTCTTCTTGAACTCACCAACTGATCCCACCAAACTAAGGCATAGTCAATGAATTCCATAGCAGCAAGTCTAACCTTCTTTTGCTCCGTATAGTTTTGGCATTCAAAAATGTGTTCAATTTTGATTACCCAATCAAGATAGGCTTCTGGATCAGTTCGTCCTTGAAATGGAGGAATAATCACTTTAATGTTGCTGAAGTTGTCATTTTGATTTCGATGAACATCTCTCCTTGCTACTGATGTTACTTCAGCCTCTTCCTCTTCTAAGTCTTCTTCCATTCTAGGGCGATTTACTCTCCGATTGCCTAGAGATACTTCTAATTGATCCAGACGATCTTGCAAAGGCTCCAATTCTAATTTCAGCAATCTTGCCATTTCACGCATAACGGCTTGAGTCTGCAAATTAGGGGATTCTCTTTCTGGGGATCGTCCTGAACTCCGAGACATGGTTAATAAATAAGAAAAGAATAAGATGTGTAAAAGACCTTACCAGAATATACTCTCACAAAGCCTCACGAGTCACTCCAAGAAAAACTTGATGTCACTCAATCCGCTCGTGTTTGCACTCTAGGACTTTTAATGGCTTTTACTTGTCCTCTTCTGATCTCACACACACTCCAGCCTTTTTATCCTCAATTCTCTTGTCTCAAGTTCTAATGAACTTTTACTCAAGACTATATCGAGTAATTTCACTTGTTTGGCGTCGGTTGCAAATGGTTAGTAGGAATGGAAAACAAATATAGTTGAAAAGGTGGCTTAGAAATTAGAAAGAAGAGAATGAAAGGGTTACTTACACAAGTCACTTCACAACCTTCTATCACCACAATCAATTTTAAAGGCTTACTTGAAAATGCTTGGTGATGAGAATTGTTGATGAGTGCTTCCAACTTTTCTTTCTTTTCTTTGCTTTTTTTTTTCTTCTTTTTGAGTGCTTTGACTTTTGAGTCCTTCAATTTTCTTTGCTGATTTTTTTTCTTTTTCTTTGACTTTGCACTTCACTTTTGCACTTCTTTTTGTATTTTTCTTTTTGTTGTTGTTGCACGTTGCTTCTTCCACCAAAGCTCTGATTACCGCTTGATGTACGGTACTTGTACCTTTTCAAATGATTGTGGATCTAGGAAGGAAGCAAAACAACCTGCAAAGTGAATGGCTCAAAAATAGAATGGTTAAGGGTGATAGACGTATGGGTGAATTGGTAGGCTATTTAAATAATGAGTAATGGAAGCGGAAGATAATTGATAAGGCTATGGTTATGGATATGAAATAAAAGGATGGTTGTGAGGATAGTATCTTGAAGAAATCTCAAAGAAGAACCAATGCTATAGAGAGCAGAGACCCAATCTTTATATTGCTTCTTCAAGGGGTGGTGTTAAGTACTTTGACCCACTAGTTATATGAACTAGGAACCAGAAGTATCAAGATGAAAGAAAAGGGGTTGACGCCACAAGTATAAAATACTTGATAAGTCGATAAAAAAGTCACCAGGACTTAAGAAGAGAATAATCTCACTTTAATTGAATAAAAGGTGTGCTTACAAATGAAATATGCTTTCCTATTTTATAGGAAATGGAAGGATATGGCCGAATGGTTACAAGAGGATTCGACCAGCCCTTGTGCCTCTATAAAATGACATAATTTAATTACAAATAGAGATGATGGTTCGGTTTAAATGGAGGAAAATATCCTTTGGCCGAATAGTGCTTGTACCCCTTCAAGTTGGCGCCAAATTGGAGAGAAAGGAGTGCTTGGCCGAATGGTAAGAGGACTCTTCATCTTGGCGCCTAAATGAAGTCACACGCCTATCACATGGTGGTCTGGTCACAAGGCGTGCACATGGCCTCTCTAGGATGCTTGTGGTGTAGCCTTGCGCATGGAATGATGGCTGGTCATGTGCTCCATCTTGGGCGTGCATATGTCTCCTTCCAAGCTAGCTTGAGTGTTGAGCTAGCTAGCAAGAATGGGGCTGTTTATGAATGATCTTCTTAGCCGAGTCCTTTTGAGCTCCATAACAGCATGTTCAGCTACATTCAGCTACATTTGTCATCACTTTTAGCAACTCAGCTTCAAATAGTCCAACTAGCTAAGTTTAGCTAGCCTGAAGCTTCTCCAGCTGAATCGAGCTTCCCTTAGCATTCCATGAGCTGCCTTGTACTTTGTGAGCTGTTTGTGAGCTGTATGTGACTTCCAAATCGTTCACCAAGCTACCTCAACGTGCATCATACTCCATTGTACCTATATGTGCAAGGAAACAAGGTAAGTTCATGATATTGAGCTAAAACGAGCTAAATACCTTGCTGCCATGTTTGTTTATGGTAATGTGAGCTAAGTATGATGGTCATGAGCTAAGTACATCATCTCCTAATATGTGTAAGATAATGTATAAAGCCTAAGAGTTAACATGAATGCAAATAAACTAATGAAATGCATTATAAGTATGATGCCTTGATGTATATATAATAATCATGCATAATATGATAATAAAACTATCCTAACATTATTAACATATTAAAATAACAATGTGTAATATGAATTCATACTAAGTTACTTAACTAATATTCTTATCATAAAATATATTATAATAGCATATATTATAAAGCTAATAATAAGTAAATTCAATATAAAGATGTTCAAAAGTACTCCCTTTATAGATGAAAACGTGCTGATATCACTACCACTTCGGGCTGGAACCATGACCCTCGCTGCGTGCTTGATTCCTAGGAATACACCGGTTACGTTAACACTAAGAACACGTTCAAAATCGGATTTCTCATTGTCGATTATTCGAGCCTTGTTGGCATCCACGATGCCGGCGTTGTTAAACATGATATCAAGCTTTCCATGAGTGGCGACAGCTTTGTCAACAGCACTTTTGATTTGGTCTTCATCAGTGACATTGCAATGGACAAAGGAACAGTTTGAGTGCCCTATGTCCTCACAAACTGAATGACCCAAATCATCTTGGATATCAGCAATTACAACTTTGGCCCCATGGTGTGCAAACACTTTAGCAGTGCATTGTCCTATCCCACTGGCTCCTCCTGTAATTAGAGCTACCTTCCCTTCCAGCCTGCAGTTGGTGGTTAATAGCAATAACATGAATTAAAGTGTTGTACTTGAGGTCTTTATATTTAATTATTTATATATATATGCTTCGTATTTGCTTACTCCATAATTAAAATAATTAAAAAGACTATTTTCACCTAGATGGATCCGGGAGTAGGGATGGTAATTTTTTTATGAATTGGTCAGTTCGACCTAATCGAACGCAATCAAAACTGTTTTTATTTTAAAATTTTAATTTCAGATTCGATCGAGTTTTTATTTAAGGATAAAATCGGGTCAAATCCAGGTTCAAGGTAAATACATCCTTATTTTATCAAATAAAATATTTTTTATTAATTTAAGGTAAATACAAAGTAATGTATAGAGATAACTTTCAAACATTAAATATTAAAAATAAATGAATAAATATATATGTGTCGGGTTTGGTGTGGACTTTAATCTAAAAATTGAGTTGGATTTTGGATCGAATGAGGACCCTTCTAAACCTAGGTCGGGACGGGAAGAATAGAGGGTTTTAATTTTTGGGTCGAACCTTCGGGTGTGTCAAAAACATCAAAATAGTGCAGAAACACACAAGGACGGTGGGAGCTACAGTACTGCAAAACTGCAAAGAAGAAAGAGCTTCAGCTGGTTCATATCTTTACCAAGCCAAACCCATCAAATCTAAACTACAGGAACAGATTGACATATAAATGAGAATTTAATAACAAAGTGGAAGTAGGATTAGTTTTGAACTGGAGAGCATTTCAGGACTTCATCTGATGACCATCTCAACATCAAAAGAAGAAATAAGATTACAAATCAAGATGTAGGGATAAAAAAAATTGAGTGAAACTAAGAGAAACTCTCACCTTTTTGTGAGTGCTGAGATGAAAGATGAAGAAGCTCCCATGGTTTCTTACAATTCCTAGACAACGAGCCGGGTTTCGTATAATACTCCATCGCCAGCTTGTGATCTTTTAATAATATTGGCGGAGCAACAAGGACAGATGCACATTTTGCATAAAATAGCATTTTATTTCCTCTTCTAAAATTATCTTCTAAAGGTAGGTACACAATTTTCTAAAGTTGATATTATTTTAAGGTTCAATTATAAACTAGTATCACTCAACTTTTTTTTTCTCACTCATTTTTGCATAAAATAACATTTTATTTCCTCTTTCTAAAATTATCTTAAAAAAATAGGTACATAATTTTCTAAAGTTAATATTATTTAAAGGCTCAATTATAAACTTGTATCATTCAACTTTTTCTCAGTCATATTTTAGTCACTAAAATTTTAATATTTATAAGTTATTCACTAGACTTTCAATTTGCTTCTATTTTGGTCATTCCGTCGTTAAATACTTAAACGTCTAAACATATTTTTAATTATGAAATGCCTCCAAAACTTTCTTCATTCTTTTGTGAAAACCCCTAATTTCAAATTATATTTAATTTCTTGATGATGAAGGATCTTCTTCCAAATTCCAACGACAGAGAGGTTGTTGATTCCAAGTTGATGAGATGGTAGATATTATAAATGAAAGTGGTCTAGAGTTTCATAAGTTTTGGGTTTAGGATTGAATTTTGTGAGTTTCAAAGTTACTTAAGTAAAATCTAAACTGATGAAGTGGTAGAAGACAATAAAGATAGTTCGTCAATATCTTAAATGGTTGAATAATACGCCAGGGAATTATAATTACAATGTTGACGTGAGACAAGGATTAGAATGTAAAATTTTATCTTGGAGGAAGAAGATAAATCAAACAATAAAAGATAAAATGATGTGGATGACACGTAAAAAAAAATCAGTTTATATAAGCACACATGACTATCATGCCACCCTTTCATTTTAGATCTAATGCACAAGTGACGAGAATATGACCAAATTGAATGTTTAATAAATAAAAATAATAATTTTTTAATTTTAGTAACTAAAACATAAATTAGAAAAAATTGATTGAAAATTTTTAATTTACTCTTATTTTAAAGATTTTACATCGTAAAACAGTATTCTTTAAAGATAAGGCATGCTGTAAATATTTAAATGTGAATTTTTTTAATAATTTGGAGTAATCGTAAAATAATATATGTTAATAATTTTTTAAATTATTAGTAATTCATATAATCTGTTAAAGTAACTGTTTGAATTCAAGATCTTTAACTATTGAATTCATTTAATGGATTAAAATGTGAATTTCTAAAATATCAAGTAGTGCAACATTTCATTATTGGTTTCATGAATGCATCCGAGAAGCAAGTTGTGAGTACTGGTACTGCTGCGGGTAAAGAATCAGCCAGTGTTGAAGAAAATGGTACTGGCAAGGAGAGCCCTCATCTTGAAGACGGTAGTCTGCCAGAAAGTTTTGAGAACAGCCTTCCTGATAACCCTTTTGCATCTCCTAAAAAAGCTTCTGGATAGTACTTGTCTGCATTCTCTAATACTGAAGCGGACAGGGACGCATCAGTCTCGGCTTCTTCTATAACAAATAATTTGGTTCCTTCAACCTTGCTTCCAGAAAATAATGCATTAGACATGGCATCATTCAACTCTTTCAACTGCCAAATGCCCAGATTCTCATCAGGACATGGGACCGTCAGCATGTATGCAGGCACTGGCGGCCCAACTTGCCCTGTTGGAATTTAACATCCTTTGGCAAAGGTTAGAAGACTGAAGGTATAAATCAAACAACATAGTTTCACATCAGAGATCTAATAGAAGAGCCAACCACCACTATACTCTATTTACTACCATACAAAATGCGTACATCCACCACTATACTCTATTTACTACCATACAAAATGAGTACATAAAAAGGCAGTGAAGGAAGTGGGACAGCTATTCCTTCTCTTTTGTTGTAATAATGTTTACCTATTGTTTCGATAGTTTGAACCACAGGTTAAAAGAAAGCATAGAAAGAAAAAAGGATCACCCAGTCAATGTGTATCTGTAACTCCCCAATGGTTTCCCTGTAAGAAACAAGGAGGAAAAACCCTTGTTTATTTCTTTTCTTTTCTAGCTTAGTCTATCCTTGTACAGAGCAAGAAGGGAAATCAATCCAAAGGCAAAATTGTAAGAACATGCATGTATTGCATTGTGTATGGTCCTTTCAGGGTAAAAATGAAGAACAATGGGAGAAGAATATGTTAAAATCTCAGTTCATAGTAATCAAAGATCATGTGGTAGTTTGATTGTGTATTAGAATCTTACATGCACGTGCAATCGGCATAATAGCAATGGCACTACTGGCATTATTGATTAAGGGTGGGGTCATTGTATGACATTCATTTGGGGGGGGGGGGGAAGAAACAGAAAGGTCCACAAAGAGAAACAATCACATGGGGTGACTAGAGGTGATAAGTACAAGTGGGTCCAAAGCCATTGTTTTAGAGATTTAGTAAATAATTAATATTAATCTATATAAATGCCAGGTTGTTAGTGGGGTCCTCTAAATCACCACCCACCCAGTTGGCTTCATTTCACTGATAAAAAAAATATTGGTTTCATGAATATCAATTATCTGTATGGACCTTGTTAAGTCCAAGAAAAATTATTGATCTAGTTGATTTAGATGTGCGGCAAGTCTAATAATAGATTTTTTTTGAAATTTAATAATAGGTATTTTATTGAAATTTAATAATAGTTATTTAGGTACCATAAACAATATTATATATTTATCAATGGTAAAATATTTGTTAATACTGGAACTACATTAATACTTTTACAATAATAATGCATTAATACTGTCTTAACGTTAATTTTTTTTATAAATATAATATCTAATTTTTGTTTGATCTACTCTTTTTAAGGTCTATATATTTTTATTAAAACCTGATTCTGAAGTTTAGAACATAAGTTAACTTGTGATGAATATTCAAATGAAATTCTAACTTTTTAAATATAATGTTTTTTTTAAATATAATCGATTATCAATTAATTTTCAACACATTTTAAAACACTTTAATTGAATATAAAATTTTTAAAATATCTTTATTTTAACGAATATAGTGTACACATATAATTGAATAGGATTTTAGAGAAACATTAGTTAATGATTCTTATTTATGAAATAAAATTAAGTAGCTTGAACATTATTATTGATTTTGCTGCCGTTTTGAATATCCTAATCCATCCTTTTTGGATGTATATGAGGAGAAACTCAAATTTAAATACAATAATTCTTGTTTATTGGTGGTCGGTCGGTTAAAGCATCTATATCAACGTTTTGAAAACCAGATCAGACCGGACCGGCCAGTTCAACTGATTCAACCGGGAACTACTGTCAGGTCCGATTCATTCTACCCCGGTTAAACCGCTACTAGTGAATCGCAAGGAACCGTTGAACCTGCTGTGAACCATTCGAACCGGCTGTGAACCGTTTGAACTGGACCGAGAGTGAACCGCTAAGAACCGGCCATCAATAAAAAATTTGATTTGTGTTCTTATCAAAATGCTTAAATGTTGTTGAAGTTTAACTTTATTTGGAAGGATATTGATATTTCGACTTTTATTTTGAAGGTTAATCTACTTTTGTTTTGGTTTTAATGTGTAATGTTTGGAGATTTTTATTAGAAGTAAATCAAGTAATGAATGATGTAATTTTGGTGTTGTATTTAAGTATTATAGTTGTGGGAATGTTTTTAGTTTTTTATTAAATATTTTTTTTATTTTTATTTAATTTTTTAAATAATTATGACGTCGTTCGATTCTTCCGACCGGTCTGACCGATTCAACCGGTTGAACCAGTGAACCGGTAGCATGACCGGTTCGCTGACCAGTCCGGTTCTGAAAACCATTATCTATATTGAATAATTTAATAAATAAAATTTTATTAAAATAATATGCTTCAGTAAGCGAATAGCTGCTAAACGACAGAATGCATATGGAAATAGGCATCTTCTTTGGTGTTCAAGGTATCTTTCCTTTCCCTTAAAATATAATGATGAGAGTAAACTACTAGATATTAGTCATTTAAATATTATTTTAGGTTTTTTTAATTATTTATTTGTTTTTTAAATTATCCTTAAATTTATATTTAATTTTATTTTAATTATCTATTATTAGAATATTAATAAAACTGTTAACATGATATTTTAAAAAAAAATTGTTAATGATGTAACTCTGATTAGATTATAATACGTGAATGTAATTGTTAATTTTTTATCAATAGATAATCAAAATAACATTTAAACGTAATGTTAATGATAATTTTAAAATTAATTAGATAATAAAAAATTAAAATGATAATAGAGTGATTTAATATAATAATAATAATAATAATAATAATAAATAAATAAATAAAATATTATGCTAATTATTAATCTAATTATATATTTAAAACAATAGGAGTATGTCTTAGAAACAACTCCAACTAGATTGATAATCTGTAAAATCCTATATAAATTTTAATGAATCTTAGGTATACCCTTACCTGAATTGAGAGAGTCTCCCTAACCTAAAATTTTATGTTAATAAAAAACAACTTCAACTGGAAATTCTGACAAAACTAAGTACGGACTTAGTCTACATCATAGTTACACTCTATCCGAATTAGAATGAATAGATCAAATCCAGAAGATTCATTACCTTGTTTTCTCATAATTAACCCAAATGTGACTTAACAAAAAAATAAATTTATCGGTCGGGATTGATTTCAAAAGTTAAGAAAATGTATTAATTCAGTTAATAAATTAAATAGAAAACAAATGAATATGAGAACAAAGTTAAAAGTCCAATGTTAATAATAAAATTTCAAAGTCCAACGTCCAAACATAAATAAATAAATAAAAATATTAATAAAACCTGAAATGATAAATGTGAGTAAAAATTCTCAAACTATGATTAATAGTAAAATCTGAATACAAATCATCTCAGTACAAGTTCACCTAAACTTGAGAATCTAAAAGAGAATCAATCACAATAATATTCTTAAATTTAGTATGTCTCTAAAGTGGAAACAATCACAATATATTGTCATAACCGTTTTAGGTTGGAACAATTATTTGTTTTAAAAATAGTTACGATTTTAAATTTTAGAAAATTGGCAGTTTTAAATTGATTTGAAATGGAATTGAAAGGAGTCGCTATCGACCTTTGAGTTAGGTTGGTCAAATACCTAAAAATATCTTTTAAAAAACAATTTTAAGAAAAATCATTTTTAAAAAATAAAAGTTGGTATGCGTTTACCAAAGATTCGATTAAAACGGGCTCGAGAGTCGGTTACGCGTGAGGAAGGATTATCACCCCCACAACGCCCAAAATTGGTACTATGTCACTTACATATTGTCGTAATGGTGAAAATCCTGAATCAAATATCAAGTTAAAATATGATCCATTTATTGAATATTAATTAATTTGCTTCAAATTAATAACTTAAATGAATGACTGAAATAAAAACAAATAAATATTACAAACCTAAATACAAATAACAAAAATATGTATTTAAATTTATAAAAAGCCAAAATAGGGATAACAAAAGCTTTAAGGACATAATAAGTGACAAACATAAAATAGTAGCTAATATGTAAACATTATATAACCTGAGTACTAAAGCAGCAATAAATCCTAAAGAAATATGCAGGACCAAAGTATAACAAAGGTAAAATGTCATGCTTCAAAAAGAAACATAACAAAATATAAAACAACATGAATAAAATTACTAAAACGAAACAATAACAACCTAAGCTACTTAATCACGATTAAGTTAAAATACGATGGCCCATGTATAAATATAAATATAAACATGTTTAATAAGAAATTCAAGACTAAAATAGAATATAAATAAATAAAGATCTCAAAATAAAAAGAACTGAAAATTCATTAGTGACCGGAATACAACTGTTACAACAATTTGGGAACCCTGAGTTAATTTAATACTTAATTTTCAAAATATTAAAACAAGCGTATGGAAGACTTGGAAGTAAAGACATGTATTTTGGGCTAAAATTGATAGTGGGATTAAAGCTTAATTAAACACACTAGTATTCAAATCCACTTTGCCATTGCTTGATTTATAATTGATTACTTCAAAGAATCTCAATTTTGCATAGCATATTTTTTGAGTTAGTGGCCCATGCGTTGAACTTAAACCCCATCATGCATTAGTTATAATCCATTTAAAGGTTATTTTGAAACCCTATTTCCCATTTTCTAAATCCCAGCCGTTTGGTGTAAATTAAAGGAGAGAACGCTCTCATTTTCCGAACTCCTTTCTTCGACCGAGAGACAAGCATCAGACCACCCTACGCGGTGGTCCTTGAACCGTAAACCAACACCACCTATTCCCTCTCTCCGATGACAGTGTTACCCCGACGAACACTCAACAGCAGCAAGGTAACTCTAAAATCCCTAGCTTATTTATTTTAGAAAGCTTTAAAATTACATGAAACCAAGAACAATAGTTAAACTCTCCTTTATAGTTACGTTCTAAGAATCTAGCAAATAAACCGAAAATAAGGACCTAAATACCTCTTAACATGCTTGAAGATTTCGATTTGTTTATTTGATTTGCTGCTAAAAAGACTGTGCTTCAATTATTGATGAAAATTTTCTTGTTTATTGCTGATAATCGGTCCTCCTTACATTGCTTTTCGTTTGGGTTCCATACCCATTACAAAACTCTCCATCTCCTTCCCCCTTTTTATTTGTTCTCATTCGAAACCCCCTGTTCGAATATCTCCTTCTTATCGAACGATTACCTCCATTTATAATGGATTTTAGCTTCTGTGTTGTGGATTTTCCACTAATATCCAAATAATGGCATATTAGGTATTAGGTAAAAATACCTAATTTCTGAAGGAAAAAAAAATTTAGTGGATGTTGATATCTTGTCTGATTTGGTGATTTTGTGGTTGCTTGAGTGATATCTGGCGTAGGGGATGACGCACAGCGACTCGATATCTCGGTGGTTCGTCGGAGATACATGCACGCCGATGGAAGCTGGAAGGACTTCACTGTTGCGGCTGGGTTCGGTTGGAGCATTCGGCCATGGCAGCGTTTGCTGGAGTTAACGTCGGTGGCAGCTGAGTGTTTTAGTTTAGGGTTTCAAAACCCTAATCTATAATGGGCCAGTCTGGATCCAAGTCTTGTAACTGGGTCTCGTTGGGTTGCAATTGCTGGTGGACTTTTAGATTTTCACTTGGGCTTCAGGTTTGGGCTTGTACCTTGTAATGGGCTATGGGATTTATTTTGTAGGCCTGTAAACATTTTAAAATAATAATAATAATAATAATAATAATATTAATAATAATAAATGATTATGTACTCATACACCTGTCACTGTCACACTCTAATTTAGGTTTTAGTTTTCTTTTGATTTAATTATGAAGTTTAAAATATCATGTTAATTAAAATCTTGTGTCCACAAGAAAATTTAAGAGATTCAAGGACTTTTAAGTGTAAATTTTACCTTTATATGGATATTGTGGACTTAAGAGGTTCTAGAAATCACATGAAAAATCCATTTTTTTCTGATGTGAACTTTCTTATTTATTCTGAATATTTGGAACTATAAATGGATAAGATATTTTAGGCAAAGTTCAGTTTTAAATCATAGAATCCGAGAACCAATTTGATTACCCAACAACTCGCTTACTTGACCCATTGCAAGCTTCAAACTAACCCATCAACATTTCTATCCTCGGAATAGTAAACTGAACTCATTCGGTTCGTCCACCCCACCCAACCGAAGGTTCAACAACCTACAACTGAATATCCATCCACTTAAACTCTCGGTAGACCATCACCAAGCTCAGTCAAGCTCCGATACTGTTGAACGGCCGGTGATGCAACTCCACTCGTGCACCATGTCATCACCTGCAACGAAAACAAACAAGAAGTGAAATAGAAAAGTCGATGGGGATAAGTAATTCGATTTCCAACGATCCTGACATCGATTGGAAGATCAGTGCAGTGAAAAGGTTGGAATGATTGCGGGGACCAACATATCATTGAATGAACGGAGGCAAACTGGTTAGTTTTGTTTTGAGATAACCAAACGGTTTTTGGTAGATCTACGACTATCCATCATGAGTCTCGGTGAACGAAAGTAAGATCCGTGAAGAGGAGAATGAGGTTGTTTCAATGGTATGCTTTGATTCTTGAACGGTGGTCGATGGCGATAGGGGTAAGCATTCGATTGAGTCAAGTAAAAAATTTAAATTATTTAAGTTGACGAGTCTTATTTTACAACTCGGTGTTGACTTGAAATTTTTTCAAATAAAGTCGAGTTTATAAAATTTGAGACGAGTCGAGTTGAATTTTTGAGTTTATATTTAAATTTAATTTATAAATATTTATGATATTACTTGATTTCATTTTAAATAATTTTTTATGATCATATACAAAATATATATATATATATATATATATATATTTATTTATTCATGTGTGATTTTTGATATATATATATATATATATATATATTTATTTATTTTATATGTAATATACATATATCATATAGAATTAAGTGACTTGACTCAAACTTAAAAATTCATCCATTAATTGTTAAAAAATTTAAATTATTCGAGCTGTATTTTACAACTCGGTCTAGAATTGATATTTTTTCTAGTCGAGTTGATTTTTGAAATTATAACTCGAAGTTCTTTTGAGTCGAGTTCTTTTGAATCGAGTTAAGTCGAAAAAAATTGATTTTTTTGAATCGAGTCAAACTTTGCTCACTCCTAAATGACGATGGTCGACGTGGTGGCCACTGGTGGTCGATCGATTAAGCATTCATTATTGTTGTGTGATAGCTCACTGGTGAAGAAGGGAGAAATAATATTCAAGAAATGAAATAAAAATGTTGCGTGAAGATAAAGCTCGAAATGTAGAAATAGTGTAGATCACTTAGTTTTTGGATAAGTCATCCAAGTTTGGTAAAAGTTTAACATTCTTCTACCTTCCAATTTGTTAGGATTATGTCATAATGGTTTCATAATTGATTTCAAAGGTAATGCGATTTTTGGATAAGGAATGGTCAAATTACAGCTTCAGTCCTCTATTTTTGTATGGTTATAACCTTGTCCTCTAATTCATATATAGTCTTGACCAAGTCAAGATAGTTTAAATGAATTAATTTTAGTACCTAATTTTTAGTATTATATATTATAGTGGCTCCACAAGTTTTTAGTTTTACCGATTGTGTCTTTGAATTATTAAACTAGATTCTAGTAAGTTATTTTTTTATGGAGAGAGAAATTAATTGGATTTGATTTCAAAATAAAGATGGTATGGGTTCATGAGATGGGTCGGAAGCTCATAATCAAAGTTAGTAAGCTCAAATTTGTGGATAACGAGGTTCTAGTAACGTAGTTGGTTATTTCTAAAAAAAGCACGTTTTGGGTTCTTTGACGTACTGAGTTCATTTTTAGCTCTATTTCATCAAAATCAAACCCAATAAGCTATTTTTCAGTGTTTGGTCTTCTAATTCGATTCGATTTTCGCGATTAATTTTTGGGTCTGATATAATTTCTTTTGTCTTTTATCTGAGATATTTTGGGATGTCGAATTCAAGTTTGAGAGGGATCAAATGGAGTTTAAATGATCGATCGATGTGGCATGGAAATTGATGTAATACTTTACTACCTTTTGTATACTTTACATAACATGTTGGTATTGTTTAATGCATTAATGATTATCATGGTTCAATTATGTTTAGTTAATTATTGTTGGACTCAAATTGAATACGGTAAGAAGTTAGTAAATTGTATAAGACTCAAATGACTCGCTAATAAATTAAAAGACTAATAAGAAATAATTCATTGTTAAGTGATTAGTTGGTAAAACGATTAACCATAGGATCCTTGATTTCTAATTATTCTTGTTAAAAGTTTTAATACAAATATACTTTGATAAGAAATTACAAAAATATATTTAGGGTTTAAAAGTGTCATCAATTGCCTCTAGTAGTGGAATTAACCTAAGAACTAATGCTTGGTTCGATAGAATTACTGATTCACATGTTGAATTGTTGATCTATTTAAAAAATTTCTGATAATCAATTCCTAACCTTTGGGAAGGCATAAGACCTGGAATTTATGATTCCTGAGCAAACACCCAGAGACTAAATTACCGAAAGTACCCTTTATATATGAATTGCTCGAAATGAATGAATTTTATAAAAGAATAAATCGAATGAAAGGACTAAAATACACTCAACTAATAAAATTACCTAATTACCCTCATAACCTAGAAATAAGTGGATGTAATTAGATAAATTCTAAAAACATTGATAAACTTAACTATTGTACCGTCTTTAAGGTTTGGAACACGATCCAACAAGTTGGTCATTTTGGATACTATTGTAATAAAAAATAAAATAAATACCACCAGAATACTTATTTAATTCCTCAAGATCCGTCCAACAATGTTTCTGAAGGTGATCAGTTCAACTAATGCATTCGATATTAGGAAGTGAATAATGGCGAAGTATCTTAGTCTAAATGATTGTCAAGTATCACAGTGTTGGGATCTGTTAGTTCAATTTGATTGGAAATCCTGATAATTCGATATAAATACTAAATACTAAAAATCGTTGTTTATCCTTATTGGGTTAAATTACTTAGAATTTTTCAGGAATCATAATGTCAAAAATGGCCCTGAATAATTGAATCTCTCATGTTAAATTTAAATCTTCAATAATTCTTATGTAAAGGTTCCTAAATACCTTCTTGATGCACTCGAATCCTAAATGGTCTCGAAACATCAAATTCTGAATTTTGATTAGATTTGCTAATGAACGAACCCTTTTAATAGAGACCACAATTTTGAAATTCAACCAATTTATAGATGTTCCATATTTTCCCTTCCTGATAACTACCAAGGTCTCTGAAAAATGATTGGATCCTCTAATGTGTTCCTTGTGCTATATAACTATTTTATCTATACTAAAATATGATTTATTATCTGATTCAATATATGAATATTTTATCTGATTGATATTCTAATTTCTAGATATATTATTTATGAACTATGTTTTCCTAATACAAGCTCTACCATTTTTTAAGAGATATACATGGTTTTGATTAACGAAATCATGATAATATTGATTTCTATATGAAACTATTTTATTGGGTTACTATTTTGGTAGGATTCTAGAGCATGGAGGTTCAACTCCGATCAAGCGATAATTCCTTGTAAACCTAAGGTAACCCATAGGTAGGCTTTTAGGCCCAAGGTAGTCCCTTAGGTTGGCTTCTATACTTATTAGGTAAAGGTAAGTCTATATGGATACATTTATGGGGGACTACGTTTTGGTGTATGGGTGAAGGGTAGTTATATAATTTAAATAAACATCATTGTCACTTTTATGATATTCTACTAGATTAAAATTCTAATATTATAGTTTACTGCTCAACTTGATTTTTACTAGGGTATTGTATAGCTAGGATTCTGAAGTTAAAGAGGTTTAGCTCTAATGAATATGATAATTTCTTATGGACCTAAAGTGACCCTTAGGTAGGCTCTTAGGCCCCAAGGTACTCCATTGGGTAGGCTCTAAAGCCCCAAGACACTACCTTAGGTTGGCTCCTATGTCCAATGAGTTAAGGGTAAGTCCTTATGGATGTAGCTCTTGGGAACTACATATCGATGTTCGGGTGAATGATATTACTATGTTTTAAAAAACTATTTTACTAAAATAAACTACTATTCCTGGCTTTGTTGGAACACACTAGACTCCTCAACTCCATTTTCTGAATTTGTCTCTCTAAATGTTTCTTCTGAACTGTAGATTTCTTGAAGAATTAATTAATGAAGTTTAAATCGTTACTAGTATCTTTATATACATGGATCCATAAGAAAATTTCATGCTTGACTATATATCTACTTGGCTATATATCTACTTGGCCTTTAGCATCTTTTGGTAGTTTTGTATTACTAAGCTTCCCAAAGCTCACGCTGTTACTTACCATTTTAGTATAAAAAATCGATCTTGTGTAATTATCGACATCAGTAATGGGAGTTCCTTCGGCGTCACTTGTAAGGTACTGTCGACACCCGCTTTCGTCCCGCTATTATTATTATTATTATTATTATTAGTGTTATTAATATTATTTTTATTTATTTTACAGCCTAACATAATCAGCCCATAACCCCGTACACCCAAGTTACAACTCAAGACCCGAGCCCAATTACAAGTAGCCCAAACTCAGACTAATGCTAACCCTAAGTAGTTAGGGTTTCTAAATCCTTTTCACCCAGCCATCTCCCAGTCGTTGGATTTGATTTTAGATCTAACG